CTAGAACTGAACAGAACTGAACTAGAACTGAACTAGAACTGAACTAGAACTGAACTAGAACTGAACTAGAACTGAACTAGAACTGAACTAGAACTGAACTAGAACTGAACTAGAACTGAACTAGAACTGAACTAGAACTGAACTAGAACTGAACTAGAACTGAACTAGAACTGAACTAGAACTGAACTAGAACTGAACTAGAACTGAACTAGAACTGAACTAGAACTGAACTAGAACTGAACTAGAACTGAACTAGAACTGAACTAGAACTGAACTAGAACTGAACTAGAACTGAACTAAAACTGAACTAGAACTGAACTAGAACTAAACTAGAACTGAACTAGAACTGAACTAGAACTGAACTTGAACCGAACTAGAACTGAACTAGAACTGAACTAGAAGTGAACTAGAACTGAACAAGAACTGAACTAGAACTGAACTAGAACTAGAACTGAACTAGAACTGAACTAGAACTGAACTAGAACTGAACTAGAACTGAACTAGAACTGAACTAGAACTGAACTAGAACTGAACTGAACTAGAACTGAACTAGAACTGAACTAGAACTGAACTAGAACTGAACTAGAACTGAACTAGAACTGAACTAGAACTGAACTAGAACTGAACTAGAACTGAACTAGAAACTGAACTAGAACTGAACTAGAACTGAACTAGAACTGAACTAGAACTGAACTAGAACTGAACTAGAATGAACTAGAACTGACTAGAACTGATACTAGAACTGACCTAGAATCTGATTACTAGAAACTGAACTAGAACTGAACTAGAACTGAACTAGAACTGAACTAGAACTGAACTAGAACTGAACTAGAACTGAACTAGAACTGACTAGAACTGAACTAGAACTGAACTAGAACTGAACTAGAACTGAACTAGAACTGAACTAGAACTGAACTAGAAACTGAACTAGAACTGAACTAGAACTGAACTAGAACTGAACTAGACTGAACTAGAACTGAACTAGAATGAACTAGAACTGAACTAGAACTGAACTAGAACTGAACTAGAACTGAACTAGAACTGAACTAGAACTGAACTAGATACTGAACTAGAACTGAACTAGAACTGAACTAGAACTAACTAGAACTGAACTAGAACTGAACTAGAACTGAACTAGAACTGAACTAGAACTGAACTAGAACTGAACTAGAACTGAACTAGAACGAACTAGCACTGAAGCAATGAACTAGAACTGAACTAGAATTCCACAGAACAGTAGCTTGCTCTTACCCATAGTGCACTAAATGCCAATAAAACGAACGGAATGTGTATGTGCTGCATATTACCCCCGAATTACCCAAATTATGTTAACTGAAACGCATAGTGCTCATGGTATTATAGAAATATAGCGATCCAACAGCAGAAAAATCGCGAATACAAGAAAATAAAAAATTTACGCTAATGATGGCTGTTCTGTTCTTGATAATAGTTCACTTGATTCGTATTGTTATTGCTGTAAATGTTGCTACTATGTACTTTTCCTATTGTCGTATTGCAGCATATGATAATATTGATGTTCTTGTTATGGCAGCACAGCTACTACGGTCGTTGCATTCTACTAAAAAGTACTGAAAACAAATTTTAACTGAGTGTGTTGCAGTGCTGCATTCCATGTTGGTATAGAAAATAATAACTATCAGCCATAATAATGAAAATAGGATAGAGACACTCAAATATTAACAAACATACATTTATACAATACATACATATATACATAGTAACATTCATACAATATAAATGGACGTAAAATATCATGCCATCATATTTTGGTAACAAATACATACGAATATAGCAGCAGATATTGCTAGTCAGTAGTTGTGTCTACTGATTATAGTAATCTGCCAGCAATTGCATTAATATTTTTTATTGCATTTCTTTTTTTTGGGATTAACATATAAGTATAACGATGATAATGATGCTGATGATGAGGACGTTTTGATGTTGATGATGCCCTCATTATATCTAGAGCGTATAATATAATTACAGGCTAATGATATTTTTTCCATATACACTTTCATACATTTATTTATCTTTTTGCTGAATATATCAAGTGCTGGTACTGGTACTTGCTTATTTGTTGTCGATAAGCATAATGTTAAGCTATAGCGCTTTAGGCGTTTATTTTTTTACATAAATGCAGATGAGTGCATTTAAAATCAAAGAGTAATTGTAAAATGATGGGTTTTTATTAAACATAATGCCTATTAATCTAATTTATAGCTACTTGTACTTATTTCTGAATGATTATGTAAAAGTGTAGGTATTTTTTGGAAAAATGCTTAAAAAAATGAACCAAATGATTTTAAATCAATGAAAATTAACAAGTTAAGATTGGGCTATGTCGAATCTTAAATACTCTCCACCTGGAAGCTACTTTTTAAAAAACGCTAGCTAAATGTTTTTAGATACTCAATACATTATGGAAGCTAAAATTTCGTCAATTATTCATCGATCCGGAAAACATATATAGAATCATATTTACTTCGAATTCTATTCCGACATCTTTATTTCTTAATTAGTATGTGGCCTCCAGGTTAGTGTTGTAGACCCTTCCGATGCACTGGTAAAGAAACGCACAAGAGGGGAAACGGAGGGCGAAGGACGAACGAACGAAACGAACGAAACGAACGAACGAACGAACGAACGAACGAACGAAACGAAACGAACGAACGAACGAACGAACGAACGAAACGAACGAACGAACGAAAACGAACGAAGACGAACGAACGAAAACGAACGAACGAACGAACGAACGAACGAACGAAACGAAAACGAACGAACGAACGAACGAACGAACGAACGAACGAACGAACGAACGAACGAACGAACGAACGAACGAACGAACGAACGAACGAACGAAACGAACGAACGAACGAACGAACGAACGAACGAACGAAACGAACGAACGAACGAACGAACGAAACGAACGAACGAACGAACGAACGAACGAACGAAACGAACGAACGAACGAACGAACGAACGAACGAACGAACGAACGAACGAACGAACGAACGAACGAACGAACGAACGAACGAACGAACGAACGAAAACGAACGAAACGAACGAACGAACGAAACGAACGAACGAACGAACGAACGAACGAACGAACGAACGAACGAACGAAGAACGACGAACGAACGAACGAACGAACGAACGAACGAACGAACGAACGAACGAACGAACGAACGAACGAACGAACGAACGAACGAACGAACGAAACGAACGAACGAACGAACGAACGAACGAACGAAAGAACGAAAACGAACGAACGAACGAACGAACGAACGAACGAACGAACGAACGAACGAACGAACGAACGAACGAACGAACGAACGAAACGAACGAACGAACGAACGAACGAACGAAAACGAACAACGAACGAAACGAACGAAACGAACGAACGAACGAACGAAACGAACGAACGAAACGAACGAACGAACGAACGAACGAACGAACGAACGAACGAAACGAACGAACGAACGAACGAACGAACGAACGAAACGAACGAACGAACGAACGAACGAACGAACGAACGAAGAACGAACGAACGAACGAACGAACGAACGAACGAACGAACGAAAACGAACGAAGAACGAACGAACGAACGAACGAACGAACGAACGAACGAACGAACGAACGAACGAACAACGAACGAACGAACGAACGAACGAACGAACGAAAAGAACGAACGAACGAACGAAGAAACGAACGAACGAACGAACGAACGAACGAACGAAACGAACGAACGAACGAAACGAACGAACGAACGAACGAACGAACGAACGAACGAACGAACGAAACGAACGAAAACGAACGAACGAAACGAACGAACAAAACGAACGAAACGAACGAACGAACGAAACGAACGAAGAACGAACGAACGAACGAACGAACGAAACGAACGAACGAACGAACGAACTAACGAACGAACGAACGAACGAACGAACGAAACGAACGAACGAACGAACGAACGAACGAAGAACGAACGAACGAACAACGAACGAAACAACGAACGAACGAACGAACGAACGTACGAACGAACTAACGAACTAAACTGAACGAACGAACGAACGAACGAACGAACCGAACTAACTAAATAACTAAATATAATAATCTAACGACACTAAAAGAAATAAATAAAAAAAACTAAATAACAAAAACAAACAAACAAAACAAACCAAAAAATAACACAAACATAAATAATAAATAACTAACTACTAACTAAACTACTTACTAACTAACTAAATAACTAACTAACTAACTAAACTAAACTACCTAAAACTAAACTAACTAAACTATACTAACTAACTAACTTAACTAACTAACTAACTAACTAACTAATTAACTAACTAACTAACTAACTAACTAATTAGCTAACTAACTAACTAACTAACTAACTAATTAACTAACTAACTAAATAACTAAGTAATTAGCTAACTAACTAACTAATGCGCATTTCCATGTACCTTTTTAGTAGGGCTTTACTGCAAATATTGCGGACCGAGTTACCTTTTTGCACAGACACTTTCTTTCAAAAATTAGATAATTGATATATTATAAAACCTTTTTGTTTAACAAATACTGAAACATCTTCATAGTTTAAAATCTACTTACTTAAGTATAAAATATCTTACATAATTATGTAACCTAATTTACTAAAATATAAATTAATGCTCAGAACACCCCACCACCATATTACTTTCTTATAAAAACGAATTTTAATTACCATTAAAAGAACCCTAGTAATAGTTATTTGCTTTTAATTAAATGTTGTGTCGAATTCAACCACTGAGGTTATGTTATTTCTTCATCTATTTGAAATAAATCCTCCAAAATAAACCCTCATTTAGAAAAATGAAAATTATAAAAAAAATCCTTATATTTTTATCGCGTTCCAAATTTGTAATGTCATGCACACTTAGTCACTTTGCAAATTAAATATTTACTTATCGTTACTTTTTTCGTTTCATATTTTTTACCTTTTTAAAATCATGGTTTTTCAATGCATCAGCAGCCTCTAGTGTTCGCTTAATTTCCGTAATAACATGACGTGCCCGTTTTACCAAAACCTCCTCACATTTGACATTACGTTGTAAGGCTGTAATTTAATTAAAATAAAATATATAAAAAAATATTAGAAATGCAGAGAAACTGAAACAACAAGTAAATTTAAGTAAATATACATATTTTAGTGTTGGCTGGTTTTTCTTTAATGTCTTTCGAATAAAAAATATACAGCCAGACTTATGAATAAACATATGTATACATATGTATGTACATGACAGTATTGGGCAAAAATAATACTTTCAAAATTAAGAATCCAAAAACCTATATCCTAGACTATATTAGAGACAAGAGGTCAATCACTAGAACAGAACTAGAACAGAACTGGAACAGAACTGGAACAGAACTAGAACAGAACTAGAACAGAACTAGAACAGAACTAGAACAGAACTAGAACAGAACTAGAACAGAACTAGAACAGAACTAGAACAGAACTAGAACAGAACTAGAACAGAACTAGAACAGAACTAGAACAGAACAAGAACAAACTAGAACAGAACTAGAACAGAACTAGAACAGAACTAGAACAGAACTAGAACAGAACTAGAACAGAACTAGAACAGAACTAGAACAGAACTAGAACAGAACTAGAACAGAACTAGAACAGAACTAGAACAGAACTAGAACAGAACTAGAACAGAACTAGAACAGAACTAGAACAGAACTAGAACAGAACTAGAACAGAACTAGAACAGAACTAGAACAGAACTAGAACAGAACTAGAACAGAACTAGAACAGAACTAGAACAGAACTAGAACAGAACTAGAACAGAACTAGAACAGAACTAGAACAGAACTAGAACAGAACTAGAACAGAACTAGAACAGAACTAGAACAGAACTAGAACAGAACAAGAACAAAACTAGAACAGAACTAGAACAGAACAAGAACAGAAACTAGAACAGAACTAGAACAGAACTAGAACAGAACTAGAACAGAACTAGAACAGAACTAGAACAGAACTAGAACAGAACTAGAACAGAACTAGAACAGAACTAGAACAGAACTAGAACAGAACTAGAACAGAACTAGAACAGAACTAGAACAGAACTAGAACAGAACTAGAACAGAACTAGAACAGAACTAGAACAGAACTAGAACAGAACTAGAACAGAACTAGAACAGAACTAGAACAGAACTAGAACAGAACTAGAACAGAACTAGAACAGAACTAGAACAGAACTAGAACAGAACTAGAACAGAACTAGAACAGAACTAGAACAGAACTAGAACAGAACTAGAACAGAACTAGAACAGAACTAGAACAGAACTAGAACAGAACTAGAACAGAACTAGAACAGAACTAGAACAGAACTAGAACAGAACTAGAACAGAACTAGAACAGAACTAGAACAGAATTAGAACAGAACTAGAACAGAACTAGAACAGAACTAGAACAAAACTAGAACAGAACTAGAACAAAACTAGAACAGAACTAGAACAGAACTAGAACAAAACTCGAAAAGAACTAGATCTGAACTAAAACTGGAATGCCCACAACTGATATATGCATATTATTTTCATACTGCATAGTTGTTGTTGTTAGCTAACAGTATGAAGGTTTAGGGGTGATCATGTGTGTATGTGTGTCTGTATTTTTGCGATTCCTTTTTGAAATTTTATTTTTTAATGAGCACCTGTGTGGCAAAAATTTCCTGCTGCCGCCTGCCAAACTAGTGATATGAAATAATTACAGTAGAACTTTTTTTTTCGCTTCTTTTTCTTTAGTAGAAACTGAAATAATAAAGACCTTTTTTCACCTATACATTTTCTACACAGTAGTTACTTATTTGGGTTTTATAGCTTCGAGTTACGCATTAATTATAATTTAGAATAAAAGTGAATAAAATGGCAAAGAAATTGCAAGTTCTAAATGCTAATATTTATGTGAAGGTTTCAATTGATGCACTCGTTAAGAAAATGTTAGTTTGGTGTGTTCTGAAAGCTAAAGCCTAGAATTGTATAGTATTAGTTAATTTAACTGATTTGTTCAGTTGAGTGTAAGTAAGGAGATCGTTAAGAGATTGAGTTTGCACTTATACATAGTAATTTTATTAAAGGATATGATTATTCTAATACCGGAAATATAAACACCCATCATCTATTATGGACTATAAAATAGTAGACTGTTTTCAAACATTTTTGTAATGTTAAAACAACCCTCGTTTGTTAACTAAATTACTAACTAACACGAATGTCTAGTAGTTTTTAATGTATGTAGATATAAATTGTTGCAATGTTAGTTAGTTTATTTTTTGTTATTATTGTTGTAGTGAAGGTGCAAGTATATGAATTAAGTAAACTGAACTCTGTACCCTTTTTTAAACATATTTCTCATATATATGTAGTCGTATGTGTAATTCACACTTAATGATTTCCGTTGAAAACCGTGATGTAAATAATGTGTTGTGAAGAAAAAAATTATTTTAAATTAAACACTTAAAAATGCATAAGAGTATTAAAAACAAATTAAAGTTCTTTTTAAAGCCTACAATTTTGGGTTGTGTAGTAACTTGAATAATAATTTTCATAAATAGAATGAAAGTTTTCATTATTATTTTTTCTAATTTACTTTCACATACACACACACAATCCTTTTAAACTTGTTTCACCTTCAGACCTCCCTTTTTGAAATTATGCTTTTTTTGACTATGTTCTGTATTTCTATACGTTTTCCGGCTGTCACAAACATAAAAACACAACATTTCCGAAAATTGTAAGAATTACCGGAAATTCAAAATATTTTACTCAATAGCTTTTTATATATAGTAGGTCTCTTCCTTCTTTCCTTTACAAGTGCATTAGTATATTCTCTATTTAGATACCAATAACTAACCATTTAGTCAAATAGAAATTCAGTTTTATACCATGGTATTTAGTATTTAAAATCTACAATAATTGTTTTGGCATTAGGCCAATTTGTTATAGAGATAATAAATTAAATATATTTCTGCCTTCGAAACAGGTCTCCAGCAATAGCAATAACAACAGCAACACCAACGCCAATGTCATTTCAATTATAAAGACATTTTCCAAATAAATAAATTGTAAAGAAACGTAAAAAGATTTATAAATAGAAACATTTTCATTGTGAGTTCTGTTTGCTAAACTATAAGCCAGTTAATAAAGCACTTTATCTTTAGAATCTTGGTTGGTCTTTTTTTTTGGATACATAGTACATATAAATAAAAAATATTGCCTTGTATGGGAGGTAGTTGGTTTGAAAGGAGTACTAGTACATGGCTTTCAATTTACTGTCATGTACAAGTGAATATTCTACAATATTCAAGTATTTTTTGCTTCCTTCATACAACTGCTCATGAGTATATTTGTTCAGATCACATCCCTTTATTACATTTTTAAATATATTTTTCATTTTTCTGTTTGTTTTTTGTGTGTTACTGAAAAAATAACTATTTTTCTATAATAATGCAAGGGTACATGAAGAAAATTTCTGACAGGGCCTAAGGTGTAGTCATATAAAAAGGACGTAAATATTAAAGCCCAATATACTATGACTAGACTATGACTAGACTATGACTAGACTATGACTAGACTATGACTAGACTATGACTAGACTATGACTAGACTATGACTAGACTATGACTAGACTATGACTAGACTATGACTAGACTATGACTAGACTATGAACTAGACTATGACTAGACTATGACTAGACTATGACTAGACTATGACTAGACTATGACTAGACTATGACTAGACTATGACTAGACTATGACTAGACTATGACTAGACTATGACTAGACTATGACTAGACTATGACTAGACCATGACTAGACTATGACTAGACTATGACTAGACTATGACTAGACTAGGACTAGACTATGACTAGACTATGAACTTAGACTATGACTTAGACTATGACTTTAGACTAGACTTTAGACTATGACTTTAGACTATGACTTTAGACTATGACTTAGACTATGACTTTAGACTATGACTTTAGACTATGACTTTAGACTATGACTTTAGACTATGACTTTAGACTATGACTTTAGACTATGACTTTAGACTATGACTTTAGACTATGACTTTAGACTATGACTTTAGACTATGACTTTAGACTATGACTTTAGACTATGACTTTAGACTATGACTTTAGACTATGACTTTAGACTATGACTTTAGACTATGACTTTAGACTATGACTTTAGACTATGACTTTAGACTATGACTTTAGACTATGACTTTAGACTATGACTTTAGACTATGACTTTAGACTATGACTTTAGACTATGACTTTAGACTATGACTTTAGACTATGACTTTAGACTATGACTTTAGACTATGACTTTAGACTATGACTTTAGACTATGACTTTAGACTATGACTTTAGACTATGACTTTAGACTATGACTTTAGACTACTGACTTTTAGACTATGACTTTAGACTATGACTTTAGACTATGACTTTAGACTAGACTTTAGACTATGACTTTAGACTACGACTTTAGACTATGACTTTAGACTACGACTTTAGACTATGACTTTAGACTATGACTTTAGACTATGACTTTAGACTATGACTTTAGACTATGACTTTAGACTATGACTTTAGACTATGACCTTAGACTATGACTTTAGACTATGACTTTAGACTATGACTTTAGACTATGTCGTACGTATACATACATACTTTTACAACGGAAGTTATTGAAAAATTATAAACTTTTGGTGTCAATTTGGCACCTACACTATGACTTAAAACTAAAACATTAGACTATGACTTTAATCTAGACTTTAGACTAGACTTTCGACTAGACTTTTGTCTAGAGTTTTGGCTAGACTTTTATCTAGACTTTAAACTGTACTTTAGAATAGCCTTAAGGCTAGAATCAAGACTATCACTTAGACTTAACTAGTTTTGGGGCTGATGGGATACTAACATATTAAAAAGGATGTTTCTTGATCTCAAATTAAATAGTACATTTTAAATTTAACAGCAAAGGGGCCTTAACCCCTCACTGTCTTAACAGCACCATATTTATTCTCCCCTACTAACAGGAATTCCAT